TTCCTCATTTGTGTCCCCGCATGGCTCAGCGCCACATAACGTGACCATTCCTCTCATGCTTTGAGTCTCTCCCTCGGGGAAGGCGTTCTAATGCACAGACAGCACTGATGACACGTACAGCCTGGGTGAGGGGAGGTTGGCTGCTTTCTTTCATAGCTCAGTGAAGGGAATGCTATCACTCATTGATTAGTGTATCCGTTACCTATTGCTTTGTAATAGGTTACCCCACAACTTAGTGGCTTAAAGCAACCTATGCTTACTCACGGCCCAGCTGGGCTCTCAACTTCAGGGTCTCCCCCAGGCCACAATCAGCTGGGCTCACTTCCAAGCTCATTCACTCATCAGCAGGTTTCTTAGTCCATCTGGGCCGCTACAACAGAATACCCAGAGTGGGTGGTGTACACACCACACAACACAAAGTTAGTTACTTCTCACAGTTCTAGAGGGTGGGAAGGCCAAGGTGTCAGCGGATTTGGTGTCTGGTGAGGGCCTGCTTCCTGGTTCACTGATGCATGTTCTTGCTGCATCCTCACATGCTGGGAGGCAGGGAGCTCTCGGCGGGGGGGGGGGGGGGGGGGGGGGGGGGCGGGGGGGGTCCTTTTCTAAGAGCACCAATTGCATCATGGAGGCTCAACTCTCATGATGTAATCATCTCCCAAAGGACTTTTTCTAATACCATCACATTGGGGATTAGGAGTTCACATATGAATCTGGGGGCACACACACTCAAACCGTAACAGAACTATTCAGTTCCTCGCCGAACAAGTACCTTGTTCCTTGCTGGCTTTAGGCTGGGGCCACCTTAGATCCTGGCCACATAGACCTGAACAACACGGCAGCTAGCTTCATGAAAGCCAATAAGAGAGTTTGCTGGAAGTCCAGTCTTTTGTAAACTAATCATGGAGGGACATCTCATCACCTTTGCTGCATTTTATTAGTAAAAAGTGAGTTGCCAGATCCAGCTCATCTCGAGGTGCAGGGTGTGAACACCAGGTGGGGGGAGTGACTGGGACCATACCAAGTGAATACCCAGGTGCCAGCCAGCTCCCAGCCAGTGGTTGGTAGAGACCAGGGCTAGCAAACTGAGTCAGGCCTGGTCCCACCCTGGAAAACCACTGAAGAATAAGAGCCGCGCAGACATGCAAACATGAGTAAGCCTGGCTATAAAGTCAGGTGTGCTGAGGGTATTGTGGAGGCACTGGGAGGGAGGGAAGACAGTGGGCAGAGCACTTGGCAGCCCACACAGCCTGTACCAGGGCGCTGCCTGGGACTGGATTCCAGGGTGCAGAGGGAGCAGCTGTGGTGTGGGAGGAGGGAGGTGAGTGCACAGGAGCAGTGAGGGGGGAGGGAGTGAGCAGGAGCAGAAGTCTCTGGAAGGGAGAGGGTGGTGGGAGGACGAAGCTTCAGAAGGCATTGTCTGCAGAGCCTGGTTGAGAGGACTGGGGAGGAGAAGGAAGGACCAAAGCTATTCCTGCTCCTCAACCAGCCTGTGGGTCTCTACCTTATCCTGGAATCCAGTTAGAAAGAAACGTCAAACCCGCACCCTGACTGAGAGTCAAACCCTCAACCTTTTGGTGTATGGACGGTGCTCAGCCAGCTGAGCCACCCGGCCAGGCCTGGCTCCTCCTCTCTTTAACCTCTCAGTTCTTGAACTTGTTCAGCTCAGGCCTTGCTGTCAGGTTCCTCCTCATCCCTCACCAAACACTCCCCAACTCCACTCCACTGATCTCAGTGGTCTTCCCTTCCCCTCCTGCTGTTTGTCACTTTAATATTAACGCAGAAAGAAAGAAGTTAGGAATGCATCAATATTTCTGCTTTGTGCGCCAACAGAGAGGTGATGAGAGCTTAGACAAGCAGAGACTACCAGCAGCAAACCTGCTCTCCTGGGGTCGCTCGCTGTGCTGCTCTCACTATCCCTTTACAGATTCTCCCTGCGGCTCACAGAGGGGACGGGACACTGTGGATGGTAGAGCCAGAGCTCTAACCCAGGCCACCTGTTCTCTTAACTGTTGCATCTCCTGCCTGTGTAGCAACAAGTGTCTGTGAGGCAGCTCGCTCTGACCTGGCTTGTATGTGTGGCTGCCCGAGGTGGGGTGGCCCTGATTGTCTTGATGTTCCTCTACTCGAATGAACACTAATGACAAGTCATGTCTCCTTCTTCACTAAGCACATGAGGCAGTTACCTCCCCAGGAACCTGGCAGGGCTGGGGCGAAGCACCGGAGCTTAGTTGAAGCAGGGTGAGAGAGCTCCATGGAAAGCTTGGAGGGGACAGTGGGCAGGAGGGCAGCAGGGAGGGGGAGGGCTGGGAGCTGCGCATTCTCTGGAGGCAGAAGGGAGCCAGGGGAAGATTTGGAGCGAGTGACTGGCATGATCAGCTCTGTATTCTAGACAGGACACTTTTCAGCGGTGAGAAAATGAAGTCTGAGGAGATGGAGGATCCCTGTGGGAGACTCCAGTGAGGGGAGTGTAACCCCCATGGGCCTGAGCTAGTCAGAGGTTGGACAGGAAGGGAGCTGGGAAAGGGAAGTGCCAGGGACTCCCAGGCTTGGTTTTGTTCCTAGGGCAGTGCGCCTGGTGAGACTGTCTTGCAACCCAGCCTGGGTCTTAGCCTGCAGCAATCTAAGGAGATGTGTTTGCCACCCTCCTCCCGGCAGAATCACCCAGCACCTGCTGTGTCTGAGGCCACACCCACTGGGGGTGGGCTGCTACCTGCAAACACAAAAGGCCATTCCTAATTTAGAGAGAAGAGAGAATTTTTTTTTCATTATGAAACATGACAAAATCGGGGAGACCACCCATTGTCCCACCCATGCACACACAGTTGCCATTCTTAAGTTCTGTTCTTTGAGAAAAAATATTCACAAGACTCTGCTATGTCCTATCTTTATCATAAAACTGTATGTCTGATTTAAGGTGGCCCTTTGGTCCAGCTGTCCAGCTAGAGAGCCCCAACCTGATTCCTGCAGGTTTGTTGCTGGTAGCCTCTGCTTGTCTAAGCTCTATCACCTCTCTGTTGGCGCCACAAAGCAGAAATATTGATGCACCCTGTCACCCTCCCGATCCTGGACTGGCCAGCCAGAGGGGGTTTTGTAGTAGGACGGCAGGTAGCAAAGGCAGGGTCTCTCTTTCCCTTGTTGGGGACAATAACGCCCCTGAAAAGGCCTGCAGAGCAAAACAGAACAGAAACTCCCACCCAGGCAGCAGGGTGGAAGGGGGAGGGGAGCCTGGATAATCTCTGAGTTCTCAGGAAGAAAGTGAGGCATGTGTAGGTGACCTTCTAGACTAGAAGTCTGGTTATTTGTATCAACAGGAGGTCCCAGGTAGAAAAGTTTTGGGATTTTCTTAACAGCTTTATTGAGGTCCTAGAGGCCCAATGCACAAACTTCATAAATTGGGGGGAGGGTTCCTTCAGCCTAGCCTGTGTCCCCCCAAAGTCCAGGATCCCTTGGGAGATGTTCAACTGATGGCTTAGACCCGCTCCCCACGTGGGCCTAACCTGTCAGTGGGACATCCTTAGAATTGCCACAGAGGCGGGAGAGGCTTCTGCCACCACCTTGTTCTCGCCAGCCGTAAGCCCGGCTTCTGGCTGAGTGATTCTCCCGCTGTGGGAGCACACTGACCACCAGGGGGCAGCTCCTGAGTTCAATGTCTGCCCCTGGTGGTCAGTGCTCATCATAGTGAGTGGTTGAACATCCTTAGCATATCATTAGCATATTATGCTTTGATTGGTTGACTGGATGACTGGTCACTTAGGATATTAGGCTTTTATTATATAGGATAATTAACATACCATGGCATCTATGCACTTTTAGTATATAGTGCAATGACAGTGCAATCCTCACCACAGCCCAATTACAGAACATTTTCACCAAAAATTACTCATGGCCTTTGCAGTCTCCCTCCCACTCCCAGAGCCAGGCAGCCACTCGTCTGCTTCCTGTCTCTATAGATTGGCCTTCTTTTGGACTTTTCCTATAAATGGATTCCTACAGTCACTTAGCATGGTTCTGAAATTCATCCATGTTCCTTTTTTATTACGGATGCTATTCCACTGTATATGACAGACCACATTTTGTTTCTGAAGTCACCAGTTGGACAATGGAATTCTGTCCAATTTTTGGATGTTATGAATAATGCTACAATGAACATTTGCTGGTACGTTTTTGTGTGGACACAGGTTTTCATGTTGCATAGGAGTGGAATTGCTGATTATATCTTCCCAAAATTACATCTTTATGTCCAAATAGCCATTAGTTGGAGGTTTGATGGTTTTTCCCGCTGCTGTGTATCTACACTGCCTTTGGAGTGTTTGGCTGGTCCCCTCCTGTGGCAGAGAGTGGCAAGTGGCTCAGGCTCCAGGCTTGTTCAGTGTTAGTTGAGCTCAGTGTGATGGGAATGTCTCCATCAGGGCGCGGCTGCTGGAACAGCCTTTCCCAGAGATGGGACACTCCCTTTGGTGGGGTGCAGAATGATTATAGGAAATACATGGATCTCAACAGTAAATAACATCAACTCACAGTGAGAAAATACTGTTTTCACAAAATGTCTTCAAACCTCTGGTTGTGGCAAAGAGAAGGTCTGCTAGTGTTGGTGTGTCTTTAACACCTTTAACCCTTGGTGATCCAATCAGTCTCCCTACTACTTTTCTAAATGAACAGCAAGGGGAAATAGCAGAATTTAATACTACTTTCTTTTTCACTGCATGTACATTATTTATGGCAAGGGATAGTTTTCCACTTACAGTGACATTATAAAGTTGTCTTTCCAATTAAATGAGGGAAAGTTTTACGTGAACTAGAGGTGGTGTACAGGTGGCCCTGATAAAGGTGGTTTGGGATGTCCTGCATAGGGGGGTGCACAGTTGGGGGGCATGCCCGGTGCCCACGCCCCAGCCAGGCCTCGGATCTACCGTGACTTTGCCATGTCTGCACTCTGGGATCCAGTGTGCCATGCGCGGGGGTGGCAGCGGACACTAACCTTGGTGCTGGCCCTCCTGCAGGTGCGGCGGGCTGGGGCTGGTGCTGGCCAGCGCAGGCTTCGGCAGGCTGACAGCGCCCATCATCGAGCTGCACAACCAGAAAGGCTACTTCCTGCACCACATCATCTTCGCCTGCTGCACGCTCATCTGCATCATCTGCATTCTCCTGCTGCCCGAGAGCCGGAACCAGAGCCTACCCGAGAGCCTCTCCAACGGGGAGCACTACACCCGCCAGCCGCTCCTGCCGCACAAGAAGGCCGAGCAGCCGCTGCTGCTCACCAACGCGGAGCTCAAGGATTACTCGGGCCTCCACGACGCCGCGGCCGCGGGGGACGCGCTGCCCGACAGCGCCGCGGCCAACGGCGTGCGGTCCTGTGGCTCCGCGCGTGGCCTGCCCTGAGACTGGCCTGCGGGGTGGCTGTGCGCGGAGTCGCCAAGGGGTCGCCGAGGGACCAGCCGTGTGGCTGCGAGCACACGTGGCTCCGCCAGGCACACGGGGCGCTGACGCCGGGGGAGCACAGGACCTTCGCTAGTGTGGGGGGAGTCTTTCCAGAACTCTAAGGATCACGTGAGGAAGCAGGCTCTTTGGAAATAAGACTTTCTTTTCTGCCATTAAATGTTTGTATTTATTTTGGTCATTTTTACGAGAAGCACTTTATTCCCTTTCCTCTCACTGATCTTGAAATAGAATCACGCCCTTCGAAAGAGAGACCCAGTCTCCCCGCGGGCAGCGGCCAGATGCCCGCGGCCGCCGGCTGTGCGCAGACACCACCCTGAGCAGCTCAGACTGAGCTGGCGCTGAAATGTAAACGATGAAGTGTCCGCCAGAGGCTGATGGTCTGAAAGTTTTTTATTTGTAGGGTCAGAGCTTCTATCTGGTCCATGTTTTGGGAGAAAGCAGCTCACGAATGTCATTAAAACCAGCTTAATCTTTCCTTCAAGATCATCCTTTTGTACTGGATGCTGGAAACTCTTTGGGGGAAAGCTTCAACATTTCACCACAAACGTAAATGTTCGTGGCAGTGTCACCAATTTTCTGACCCAAGTTTGCCTGGTTCAGTTCACGACTAATGCGCTAAGGTGAGAGGTGTTTAGCATTAACGCTTCCTTAGATCTGGCTCCTCCATCAGCTTTTCCCAGCACTACCTGAAAACATGGCTATTTCTGAAGGGAAACCAGTGGGACAAGAACTGAAATAGAGGACTAAGGCAAACCCACAGAGGGTGGGGTGCGCTCCCAAAGACAGTGGCATTCACATCTGGAGCACACCACACAGCATCACCAGCTTGGATGACCGTCAGCTCCCACTGATTTCATGCTGAGACTGCAAACCTGTGAGAGCCAATCCCCTTCATGCCTGCCTTTGCCTGCTTCCTGCTTCCTCCCACTTCCCTCAGCACGGAGGTGGGGCTTGGGACAAGCAGTGGGATGCGCACAGGTTAGTCCAACTGACCTCCTGCCTCTCTAAAGCATCAAGACCAATTGAGAGGAAGCAATAACTCCCCAAAGTTCAACTCCCATCCCCAATAGCCAAGGGTTGTCATTGAGTTCACTGCTTGCCCCAGACCATGCAGGCTTCCTCTTCCCTTTCATGTCAGGCTTTCTCCACCTGAGGGTGTTTCAGAGGGAGCTTGGAGGGCCTCCGCAAGGACACGTGGGGGGTGGGGAGGGCGGGGAGAAACGAGCTTCATTGGCACAGGCAGGCGCCCCCTTGAGCAACATAGGCACCTGATTTTTCAGACAGCCTGGGTCCTTTCTAGAATTGTCCACCCACCCCCACTTTGTGACATGTGTCTTTGTCATGGGCTGTGTTTTTCCCAGGAAATCATAGTCTGGGGCCTGTGACGTAGGTGACCTCCAACTGACAGTTGTTAGAACTCAAAGGGCCTGAAAAGGGGTTGACTTAACTTCCCTTTCTCCCGTTCAAGCTTTCTACCTGGCCTGTTTCTTACTGTCTCCGCCCACCACTCCCCTCTGCATCTGGTGGACTTCAATAGAACTGGTGACTTGATTAAAAAAAAAAAAAAAAAAAAAACATGGTGAGGAGGTGAAACTTGTGTGTGTGATTCCAGTGACTAAACCGTACTTTCTGTCGAATCAACAGGGTCTGGGGTCTCCAGCCTCATCCAAGGGCCGCTGCCCAGGAAGGAAGGCCACCTGGCCAGTCTCCCTATTTCAAGCCCCGCTCATCCTCGCCTTCCCTCATCTCTTAGGTCACTTTTGTTCCATGTTTCCATGTGAGTCCATTCACCTTACTTTACAAAGGCCTTTCTTACAAATGTGCAGCCTCCGCGTGCCAAACTTGTTGAATACCTTCTGCCTTTTTTAGAGTACTTGCTACCAGCCACCTGACAGCAAGACCCATTAATCCAGGACATGACATATGCAGCCGCCAAGCACCTGAGCAGTTGAGGAAGGTGGGTGGGAGCCAGTGAGGTCCTGAGCCTGCACCTGGCCAGGTGTGTGCCTGCATCACCCCAGCACCAAGGCACCTTGCAGTCCCCTTACTGTATTACGGGAGTGTTGTAGCATTCTCTCGTTGATCGCAGAGGCCTCTTTTAGAATGTGATGGAGCTGCAGAGTGCTGCGGGTAAACTCTAGGAAGGTGGAGGGAAGGCACAGCACTTACAAACTCCTATTCCTCTTCAGGGTTATGCCGAGCTCCTCTTCTGTTGCTGGGTTAGCTTAAGAATATCTGAAGCTCTTAAGGAACACCTTTATCAAATGTAGCCAAAGCAGAAAAGCTTCCTTGTGGGCTGAGCCCTGTGAAATCCCACGCCAAGTGGGCAAGGCGGCCAGGGCCCACTGAGCCTGATACACATCCAGCCCCGCCTTCCTCTGCATGGGAAGCCACCAGCTCTCCGGCACCTGGTGGTCAAGCTTGGACTCCTCAGTCCTGTTTCCTTTGTGGTCAGTAGGGAAACAGTTCACAGACACCCGCCATTTCAAGTCCACTTTCCCATCACCTCCTACCCACCCTGGGAGTCACCTCCAAGTGTGTGCTGCAGCCACTCTCCTCCACCAGCCACTCTTGCATCCTGCTATCCTCCTGGTGAGCTGTAACCCCTTTCCGTAAGTTATGCACAAATGTGAACGCCTGAGACAGGGCTGGACAGCTCTTCATCTGTTCTTTTCCAGAAGTCAATCATAACTCAGAGCAAGTACCCTAAGTACTAGCACTCAAGACAAATAAGGAAAAGTTCCAAGTGTTTTGTTTTCTAAAAGAGTATAATTACTTGCAACTAGAGGAAAGGGGCTGGTAAGTTGTTTTGGCCACAGAACAGAAAGTAAAAATGAACATCGTAGTGGAAGTACTGCACTCAAACAATACCACTTCCTAGAGCCAAACAAGAAATGACTGAAGTGCCATTAAATGAATTGTGACCATCGCACCTCCCAGCCCCTAGGTGGCGCGCACGTGCTGGGGAAAGCCCATGCTTCACTTTCAAAGGATGCCTCGCCTTGCTGTAGCGTGTTTTGGAAAAGCAGCACAGTGTGTTCTGTCCAGTGGGGATATTCCCTCTGTCCTTTCTGCCACCCCAACATTTGAGGTTCCTAGTCAGAACCGTGTTACTGCACATCCACCGGGCTCACTCTGGAGGTGCTCATTCATAGCACAAGCCTATCGAGTTCTGAACTGTGTTGTTCAAAGATAATGTCTGCATGATGTCACATCTGTTGTACCTTTGAGGAAAATTTGTATGTAAATGTACAAAAATAAAAATGTTGCCCCATTAACAAATTTCCTCTGGAATGTCTTCCCTACCTCATCTGATGGTATCCAATGAAGGGCATTTCATGACCATTGACTACAAGTAATAAAAACTCTTTATTCAGACCTTGCCGAGTCCCTGTTTTAGCGCCTCTATGAACCGAGTCTTCACTCGGCCTGGGAAGGGTGGGTGGCCTTCATCTGCTTGCAGAGTCCTGGACTTAAAGGCAGGCAGAGGCAGAGAGAGGATTACTAAACACAGACTGTTCATGCAGGGCCGGTCTAAACCACCTGAGAAATGGGGCCATCAGTAACTTTGAGAGTTCTTTTCTCTTGTGTATTGATGTCCTGCTAATCTGTGACCTGCAAGTTCCCAGAAAGGTCAAGAAATGATTATCTGACACTGTGATTCTATGAGGAAAGACTGATAACCAAAACCGTCTTCTCTAATGTAGTATTTTTTCACAAGAAAACAATGTTTCTTTAATAAAGTTTTATACCAAACTCTTCTCTCCATAGCCCTGATTTTGTGTTACTTACTCTTCCGAGAGAGGGTGCCTACTGAGCTCTCAGCTCCATGACACTCGCTGAAGCCTGGGAGGCTAGCATAGGAAGTCTGCTAAGGAGAAAATATTTTAAACCCCATACCTACTGCTCTGAAATGCCTTTCTGTCCCAGCCACAATGTCACCACCCCTGGCTGCTTACTACAGGCTCAATGCTTTTACCACTGCGTGAAGTGTTATAGAGCCCTAGAACAGTGGCCAGCAAACCTCGGCTCGTGAGCCACATGCAGCTCTTTGGCCCTTGAGTGTTCTGATGCCACTTCTTCAAAATACTCGCACAGGCTGTGGTATTTTGTGGAAGAGCCACACTAGAGGGGCCAAAGGGCCGCATGTGGCACAAGAGCTGCAGTTTGCAAACCACGGCCCTAGACTCTCAGCCTCCAATAACAAAACGGGTCCAGGTGGGCTCCAAAGATGAGGAGCCAGTGTTCCCCTGGCTTGCCTGTGCTGAGAAGCACCTGCGAGCTTTTCAACCCAACGCCTGGGCCCCAGGCCATCACGTCTCTGGCAGGGGGAGGCATAGGCAGCCTATGAAAACTCCCCCAGATTTGAATGTGAAGCCAAGGTTAGGAGCCACTGACCCAGGAAATATTGGCCATTGAGAAAAGGAGTGAAAAAAACAACAACAGGCAAAATGTGTAGCATTTGGTACTGAGTTGGGTGATCTTTCCTGAACAGGAGGAGGCAAGGATGATTTCTTTCCCAGATTCTTGTCCAGGTAGACTCAAAGAATGAAGCCAGGACAAAAGGTGCTATATGAAATGGTGGAAATTTATTGGAAACAAGTACAAACTCCCACATAGTGAGGGGTTCCCAAAGGGGTAGCCCACTAAGCTCCTTCTTCCTAAGGATTGTAAAGGCTGCAGTACTTTCTTGTTGCTGCCTTCCAATTGGTCACTATATCAGCTTCCAAGCTCAAAACCCACATGGCATCACCCTTTTTCTCCTTCAGTGATAGAATTCTCTATCTCCTGTGAAAATCTATTCTCTCCCATTTGTCAGCATTTCTCTATCCTCTGTGAAGTTTGTTTCCTTTCTCCCGTACCCTGTGGCGTTTCCCTATCTTCTGTGAATGGATGTCTTCCTTCCCCCTTATCCTGTGGCGGCACCTTTCATTCTCCGTGAATAAATGCCTTTTGGCAACTCCAAGCCCACAACCAACTGTCTTTCTCCCACATGGACCCCCTATTTCCTAAACTCCCTAAACTTGTCTATTTTACCCCTAAAAACTCCTTTCAGTACTAAAAAGATTAGAATCTACTTCAAGTGGTAGGCAGAAAAAGCTAAGGATTAAAGATGACCAAAACAGGTGCTTGGGACTTGGGGGTTTTGAGGGGGAGGAAGAAAAGACATTGGTTAACAGGAGGGCAAGCATTTGGATCCACATGTAGATAAAGCCATAACTGACATCTTCATTGCCACTGCACTTAGTTTACCAAGTATTTCTGTGCAGTTAATCCTGACACTAACCCAGCAGAGTGGAGATCATTCCCATTTTGTAGGTGAGGAAACAGGGCCCAGAGGAGGGTGAGCCTTCACCAAGACCACAAGTCTAGTGAGCCGTGAGGAGTGAGGTTCCGACCCAGGCCCGAGGTGAGCACAGCAGAGAGGCGTGCCAGGGAAGTTTATCATCTCCCATTTTACCTGGGAATGGACACAAGAGAGTCACAACTAATTTAACCCTTTTGTCTTTTTAGCCCCCTTCCTGACAAAACTCCATCTGAACCCCTTTTCTCCATCATGAGCAGTCACAAGGCAACTATTGCCCATTTTGCTTTTCTTCTTCCAAAGCTTGGTCAATGACAGCCTTTTGGCCCACAGTCTGGTGAGGGAGAAGAAGGAAAATAAGTTAACCCTTTAAAGACAAGATGCAAACAGATTAACCTGGTGACAAATAGTGGAATTTAACTCATTTATTTAAATGTATGTTGTACATAAGTTAGAAATCCTCGCTTTCGCCTCAGCTAGAACTTCTCCGGAAAAGCCTCCATTTCTTCCTTGATCCTGTTTTCTACAAGTAATGCGAAGTTATTGTCTGTATTTTGTAGGTTATAGCTGACAAACACCTGCTTGTTGGTCTTCCTGGCTAAAAAGAAAAAACACATTGACACAGCCATGACTGAAATATCTAGAGACCGTGTGCCTCGGGCAGACCTTATAGCTGAGAAATAAGGCGGAAAGATAGTGGCCTTTCAGGGAGAGAAGAAAGTTCTGATTTTTTATGGCCTGAAGTAGCTGCTGCAAATGCAGACTGAAGTCTCTGGGACCGTTCTAGGTCTCCAGAACAGTGGTTCTTAAAGTGTGGTCCCCACAGCAGCAGCATCCCCTGGGAACTCATCAGAGACACACATGCTCAGGCCCCACTCCCAGGCCAACGGGATCAGAAAGGCTGGGCTTGCGGCCAACACTGATGTCCACGAGACCTCTAGGGATCAGAATACTGATGTTTAAGAACCACTGTTTTTTTTTTAATTTCTTTATTAATTATGGTATCACATATTTGTCCTCATCCCCCCAATCCCACCCCCCATCCTCCCCACTTATGCTCCCACCCCCCTATTGTCCTTGACCACTGGTTAGGCTTATATGCATGCATACAAGTCCTTTGGTTGATCTCTCCTCTTTATCCCCACCCTGAGGTCCAACGGTCTGATCCATGCCTCCTTGTCTCTGGGTCTGTTCTTGTTCATCAGTCTATATTGTTCATCATTTCCCCTAGATAAGTGAGATCATGTCCTACTGGAAATACACTTATAAGAACCAAAAATGAGACAAGTAATAATGGTTATGCTGAAAGGCAAATAAATCAATCTGTAGTGAGTTTCTTTCTGAGCCAACAGTTTTTTTGAGACCCAATTTCAATGTCAAATAGTTCCTTATGTGTACATGTCAGCAATGATATTTCAGTTCTGGATGGTGAACAACTGGTAATGCAGGTCCAACCCTCTCTGGTTTGGTCCTGGGCAAAGGAACCACTGTTTGTTTCACTTTTCAAAAAACACCAATAATCCTACATTTCTCCATTTCTCCATTTCTGTGTGTGCCCATGCAGATACACACACATGCATATTTATATGTGTATGCAAACACACATACACACACAAATATCTAATTTTCAATTTGACGTTGGCTATGTTTTAGCCCTTTTCTGCAGAATCAATAATAATTAAGGTGTGCAGCTCCAACTGCAGAAATCAATATGAAAGATAAGACAAACATCCTGAGGACAGTCGGGCAGCAAGTCTAAATCAGCTAAATACTGTGACTGCACCAGAGCTGAGGCCTCCTCCCTCAGCCTCACAGCACACACAGGGCAGGTGCGAACTCCTCCTCCCACAGAGGCACGCACCCACCCTCCCATCCCAAGGACTTCAGATGACCACGCCAAACCAGCATCAAAGGCAAAAAGGTGGTCAGCAGAGGTGAGACTGGGATATGGCCCAGCCTGCCCTCATTCAGAGGGCAGGGAATTCCCTGTCCACCAGAAGGGCTGCTCTGATTCCAGTCTCCCTACTTGCTAAGGCAGGGTCTTGCAGGGACTAAGACTGTGCACGCCACATCGTCTGCCCAGCAGACCCAGCCAGCGCTGCCCCCTTACACACAGGTGAGGCGGGAGGGGTTTCCATCCATACTGCAGCCTCCAACTCCAATGCTTCCAGGGTTGCCCTGAACTCTCTATCATCTCTTTTCTGACTTCTTTTCATCTTCCACAGAAGACACTGTTTGGACCTTGCTCTCTTCTCATTACTCCTAGACAAAGCCCCTAACACTTGCACAAACTACAAAAGAAAAATAACCCACCCTGGCCTGTGTTGTTCAGGGATTAGAGTGTCAGCTAGGGCACCTAAGGGTCACGGGTTCAATTCCCAGTCAATGGTACAAACCTGGGTTGCAAGTTCTATCACCTGTGAGAGGCAACCAATCGAAGTGTGTCTCTCACATCGAAATCTTCCTCTCTCTCCCCTCTCCCTTTCACTTTCTAAAAAAGAAAAAATCCTCAGATGAAGATTAATAAAACAAAAAAATCAAAAGAACCCTAGTTTTTTGCATACAAACTACTATTAGCACTCCATCTCAAGGACACATCTTCCTTTTTGGCACAAAAAACTTACAGCGCACCAAATGCACGCCCGCCACCCTGCACTGCCAGTCTGTCATTCACACTGTGGCAACCCACCGGTTTTCCGGCCCAGAGCTATGAACACCTTCATCTTCACTGTCTCAGGCAGGCACACACAGGTGTGTGACATGAATGTTACCTCTTTTTTATTGTTTTTTAATATATTTTATTGATTTCTTACAAAGAGGAAGGGAGAGGGATAGAGAGCTAGAAACATTGATGAGAAACATCGATCAGCTGCCTCCTGCACACTCCCTACGGGGGATGTGCCCTCAACTAAGGTACATGCCCCTGACTGGAATGGAACCCGGGACCCTTCAGTCTGCAGGCCAATGCTCTACCCACTGAACCAAACCAGTCAGGGCTGAATGTTACTTCTTAAGCTCTGGCAATCCACAGTGAAACACATGGAATGATCATGTCTTCAACTACTTTCATATGGTTCAGAAAAAACAATGACATGAAAATAGGAACAGTAACAACTGGGAACCTGTGTGCGGGCTAAGTAGGAATGCTGGAGCTAAGCAGGAATGCTCTGTATCTTTTCTTGCAACTTTTCTATAAATTTAAAATTACTTCCTAATACGAAGTTACCAAACAACTTACTAGTCAGGCTTATCTAATTTCAGGCAAAAGAAAAGGTAGTGATGTTCCCAAAATGCGCTGCAGCTGCCCCCATGGCCTTGCCCTGTCCATGCACAGAACCGTGGGCGAGTCTAGAACGGCCTCTCCTCAGCCTGCCCCTGGCACCTGTGCCACCTGAACTGTGGGTGTTCTGTTTACGAGGGTGCCTTCCAGACTGACTTGTTTCCACTTTTCAGGGATTAAGTGGATAGAACTGTCAACACCACTACAACACAGGGCTGGGCCCTACTCGCTGCACACGCCCCGCACCAGTACACGGGCGCTATATCTGAGCCGGCTGGAAACACGGGTAACCATGAAGACTGAGAGGCCATAGAGGCGGCCCTACTGTGCAAGGCCCCCGCACCATTGATGACCAGGTGACCACGCACATTGGCTGAGGCAGCACACATGCTATCCTCGCCCGGACTGCCTGGGTGCTTATAGGAAGTGTGTCTGGAGTGTAGGAGGGGGAAACCTTCAACTTCATGCTCTAGCTTCACACCGCCCTTCACCACACTGAACCTGACGGCATCCCGGGAGTGCAGGGCAGTCCCTCCTGCACAGGCTGCTTCCTGCTCCCCTGGATCCCCAGAGCCCAGGAGGGTCCTGCAGCACCACCCACAGGCACAGGCGCCCTTCACGCTCACCCCCACCAGAAGTATTGTGCTTACCAAAGGGCACAGGCCACCTGTCCTCATAAGCTTGGGCAGTAGCCAGGGCATGACCAGGGAGTCCACTAAGGCACAGGCTGATCTGGGACAGTGGTGGGACCACGTGATAGGGATGTGCCTCCTAAGAAGACAATACACCAAGGTCTAGGCTTACTCTGCCATGATGAGTCGATTTATCTCTTGACATAAAGATTCACTTCTAAAGTGACTCGCCTCACGATTCCATCACACAGCGAGGCCCCATCTGGCCGCTCCTGCAGCCGCCATGGGTACGTACCTAAGCGCTGGGCAAGGCCAGTGGAGGTCGTGTCTGAAGTGTCTCCGAGGAGGGAGGTGGACACAGGGATGGAGTCCTGAAAGGAAAACAGAGTGCAATGCGGCTTCTCCGTCAGCTGAACTTCTGCCGCTGCTGACTCTTCACAGGGGCAACAGTGGGGGTCCTGGGAGGCAGACACTTCGGCCAAGAGAAGGCCTCACATCGGTGTCAGCAGCCAGGCGGCTGGCCCTCTACGCTCTGAGCTCACACAGCGGGAGAGATGAGGAGCAGCCACTGTTTCACACTAAGGGTCACACGGTTTAGTGCTGGGAATTCCAAAGCATGCTGATGGGCAACATCACAACCAAGATGGAAGCAAACAAGATCATTAAGGCCAGAGCTAAAAGGAAGCTTCGGAGTCTGGGTGCCAAGTGCCTGCAGGCCCCTCACCCTGGCAGCCAGCGGCAGAGAAGGCAGACACCTACCTCCTCCCCTGACGGAGAACCAAGCTCCGCTCCCCAAAGGGTGTCTGGCCTCTTCAGTGCACAAAGGCCCTGTGGCTCTGCAGAAGGGCATCAGCCATCAGTGTCCAAATAATGAAAATAAAAACTTCTGGATATATTTGGTCAATTCTCATTTCAGATAAGAAGCAATAAAACTAAAGATAAGTAAGTGTGGCTCCTTTGAAATCTAGAGGTAATCTTACTTCCAATTACAAAAAGGAAGTAATTCACCTTCCCGTTAAAAAGGCCTTGTGGAAAATGAAAAAACCCACTAACTTATAATACGGCCAAAATTCCTTTCACTATGAGCAGCACAAAGACCAGAGACTGCTCCTTACCTCCTAAGGGTTCAAGTTACTCAATACTAGACAGAATCTGTTTAGGTCTACAAAAGATGAAAGAATAAAAACATTCACTTCATGATTTTTCATGATACAAAAATGTGATCTTAATGAATTTGCAGTTTAGAGATTTCAAGTTCAACATTTTAACTATTATTACTATTTACAGTTAAACCTCCTGAAAACAGAAAATCTACCTTACCAGGGTTACCTTTTCTGATTAAAAAAAAAACGAAAAACCCCCAGTTACCCTTTCCTTTACTTCATTGTTTCTGAATCACACTGTGTGAAGCTGGTCTTCCAGGTAGACACACGCCTATACGGAGGCCCACCTTCCACTCACCCAGGCGCATCCTAGTTCTCTGAGCACAAAGGGTTCCCCTCCCCATCTTCCCTGGTCCCAAGCCGCTTCCCTCCTGCCACTGGGGCCCTGCAGCTTCTCTTGGCATCAATCACACAGACCTGCTCGCTGCAAGGCAGGCCAGCTGGATGAGTAAAAGCTGTATGGTTTTGTTCTACATAGTCTAGTCTTACTTACATGTGGGGATTTGGGGGAAAGGGAAGAGGGAGAGACTTCATAGACCATTTGAAGCCATCCCTGCTCATGGGCCAGTAAATGTTTTCTAAGGGCCAGGTGGTAGGTAGACGATTTAGTTTTTACAAACAACTCTGCCCAAGGAGGGCATGAAAACGAAGGTGCCACCCCGCAGGGCGCGATGTGACGGGGTGCAGAGGGCTCATGACGGAGCCCTCGGACACTCCAACTACTGAAGAGAGAGGGAGCCCGCGGGGCGGCGGGAGTGCCGAGGAGGGACCCGCCCGAGGTCCACGTGCGGGCCTGACCGCACACCGCACCCCTCCGGGTGGTGCTGGTGCGGACCGACCCCGTCCCCCGACATCACAGGAAGAGCTCCGACAGCTCCCGCGGCCCCTGGAGCTCGGGGACCGGAGGGTCACGCCCGTAGGCCCGGAGGAAGCGCACCCGCGGTCTCCTCGACGGGAACCGGGCGCGCGCCCTGAGGACCGCGGGCGTCTGCCCCTCGCCGTCCCACCGGCCCAGCCCCGCCCCCGCCGCCCGGGAACCGCCCCCTCCGTGTCCCGAGCGCCCCTCTCGCCGCCTCCCCGGCCCCGGCCCCCCGCACTCACGTAGCGGCTGCACATGGCCACGGCCAGGTTGCGCAGGTGCGGCGTGGCCCCCACCCACAGGAAGAGCGAGTCCGTCAGCCGCATGACGTGGAAGTGCACCAGCTGCTCCCACAGCCTCGCGCTGAAGTTGTGCAGGGAGACGTCCCCGCCCGCAGCGGCCCGCGGACCCTCCATGCCGCCAGCCGCCAGGCCCGCCAGCCCGGACCCTTCCCGGCGGCGGTGCCCGCCAGACCCGAGCAGGCGAGCGCCGAGCCGCCGAGCCGCCGAGCGCGCCTTCGCGCTCCAGACCGGGAAGTGGGCGGGGCCTGGGGCGGGTTCCGGGAGGGCGGGCCGGGCAGCTCCCGGGCCTTGCAGACCGAGCGCACAGAGCAGACTGATGGGTGGCTGGCTGCCCAGCAGTTCTCACCCTGCGCTCCCGCACATCGTTGGACTCGGGGAAAACCTGCTCTCGTCATTCACAGGGCCGGCCGCCGAGGCTTAGGGGAACCCTGAGCGCCCGCCTGAACTTGCCACTCACGTGCTGGAGCCAGGCGCAAGGTCTTCCCAGTCATGACCTGCCCAACCAAGACAGCTCTGTTTTACTTAAGTAGTTCCTTAAGCACTCTGAGAGCACCCACCTTCCATCATACCATCTGGGTTTGGATTACCAAAATCCACCCTCTGCTGGCAGCCCTGTAATTCCAGAGAAGCCTTGAATGTATCATCCCTTTAGAATGGCAACGATGTTGGGAGGATGGATAGACAGTTTCAGACTCAGACCCTCCTAACCTGTAATTGTGTATAAACGTAGGCTGTGGGCTAATCTTTGAACCTCTCTGAGACTCAGATTCCTCATCTACAACCTGAACATAAGAATAGCTACCTCTCAGAGAAGTGGGAAGGTTATGAGCAAGTACATGGAAAGTAGTGGATGGTGGCCATCATCATCCCAACTGAGGGAACCTTTAATTTTAGTAAATTTGAGGCAATAAAGAGTTGAAATAAGGAAGCCTTCAGTGTGTTAAGAAGGAATGTTTGAAAAAAGAAAGAGAGAAAGACAAAGAAAGAATATTTGTAGAAAAAGCAAACAGGGCCCATTTTTCCAGATTCTGTTACAACTGAATGTTGGGTTTTAAGCCAGAACTATCTCAGTTCTTTAAAAAGTTCTGCTTTTAAAATCTCTAATAAGTCTAAGTTGATTAAAAAGTTTTAAGGGTAAGTATTTTTATAAGTTTGTTATGTTTGTAATTATCAATGATTCAATAATATAATTAATTGATGTCTGGTGTATGAAATTCATGCACAGGTAGGGTCCCAAGGCCTGGCTAGCAATAGGGATGATCAGGTTCCCTGCCTCCCGGCCTCCCTGCCTTCTAGTCTAAAGGTCACACTCCCAAGGAGACAATTTACATATTAGCCTTTTATTATATAGGATTTTCAGGTCACTTTTTAAAAAGTTTTGTTAAGGTATAATTGACATACAATAATTACACATTTAAAGTATACAAATCAAAGTATTGACACATATATAACCCATAAAACCATGGCTATAATCAAAGTAGTGAATGTGTCTACCACCCCCAAAAGTTTCCTTAAGCCCCTTAGTAATCTTCCTGCCTCTCCCCGAACTGCTGATCTGTATTTTGTCATAACAAATTTGTTTACACTGCCTAGAGTTTTATATAAATGGAATAATACAGTATTTACAATTTTTGTCTGCTTTTTCACTCACCATAATTATTTTGATATTTATCTAGGTTGTTGGGTGTATAAATAGTTAATCCCTTTATGGCTTAGCAGTATTCTATTGTGTGGCTGGCTATACCACTATTTATTTGTCCATTCACATGTTGATGTTCAGTTGGGCTGTTTCCCATTTGGAGATATTACAATGAAACTGCTATAACTGTATGTATACAAGTAAGTCTCTGTGTGGACATATGCTTTATTTATTGTAGAAAAGTACCTAGAAGTAGAATGGTTGTATCACATGGTAGTTATACATGTAACTTTTCAAGAACTGTTTCTAAGGAACCTCAGTTCACATTTCACATCATACACAAAAGCAAATTCAAATGACTTATAGACCTAAACATAAAACCTAAGACTACAAAACTTCTAGAAAAAAACTTGTGGCCTTTATTTAGAAAAGTATTTCATAGATAAAACACCAAAAGCATGATCCATAAAAGAATAAATTTATAAATTGAACTAATTGAGCAGGTGATCTCATCCACACCTCAATTCTAATATCCTTAATGCTTTTTCCCCTAGAAAACAGACTCAATTTGTAAAATGGAGAGTTTATATCTGAAGAATCTTAAAGAACCGTCTGGGAAAACTAAATAGCTAATACCCTATTGCCTCACTCTCCTCCCCCGCATTTACCCAGCACAGTTGAGTCATGCTCCTCTATGCTCCCATGTCTGGGCTCTGAGCACTGCTGGGAAAACTACATGACCCAGTCATGCTACCCAATATCGCCTGCCCCTAACACACTGTCCTAAAGTCCCTAGATTGTGCCCTCTCTCATTTACCTTGAGGACTATTCTCTTCAAGCCCTACCCAAGATTAAGTTCAGCAGATGACCCTGCTTCTGATTCTACAAGGATAATAGAGATTATCAGGCTCGATTTCCACAATTCCTTGTACCTCTACTCAAATCATCATCTTTATCTTAGCCCATTCTTACTTTCTTTTACTCCTCATTACCATGCAATATATCAAATTTTAATCTATCCACCTCTGCTCTGACCCTATCCTCCATGTCCTCAGGAACCTCACTCCATCAACTGTGGTGGAATCTGAGATGTGCCGCCTAGATCTCCCTTCAAGAAGGGACTTGTTATCTCAGCTGCTGGAAATGCTGTTACCAGAAAACCTTCTTCTCTGACCTCCTTTAGAGTGGTGGTCACCAACTTGTAATCCACAGGCAACTGGTGGTCCGTGAGGTTCAAAAGGTTAGCGACCACTGCTTTAGAGTATGCACACACTTCCCAGGCAGCCCACGTCCAATGACTGATGAAGGCAGCAGAATACAGGCCAGGCCATTTTGGCCCAATTCTGGACAAGTTTGTCAGACCATTTTCACTCTGGAGCTCCTGTGGGGTTAGTGGAAGCTGACTACTAAAGGGTAGTATTCACTTTGCACCATCAGAAGAAATTAAGTTGGACTATCAGGAGGCTGAGTGCAGTCATCCCAGTAAAACCTTATGGTCCATTGATCAGTTTCCAGACCTGGAACTCAGATCCTCTGCAACACTATGACAAGTACACACAGTGTGACCACCCTGCCTTTCTCTAAAGGGCCCAATGGCCATTTACTCAGGTAGCAGTACACTAGGGAGAGAGGAAGACACATATTTCAAGAGTCAGAGTTGGAATTGAGCTCTGGAGACGTGAAGTGTCAACATGGTCCTGAGCACCAGGAGAAGATAGGGCTGTTGTCACCAGTGCAGACAGGGCAATAAAGGTCTGACATCCCAGTGATGTACTTGCCCAATTGTGACAGTAGATAGACCAACAGCAACTCTGGCCTAAGCACAGGTTCTCTTTCCAGTAAAAAGTATTGCCCAGCCACTGGCAGAATGGGGCCTTCAGATGCTAACCCCTTTAGGATTACTTCAGCTACCAAGAGCTACTTTGCCCAAAAGACTTTCCTGAGGTGGCCCTTGATAGAGGTATGGAAATGAAGATGTAGCCACTTCAGCTCAACACAGTCAACTCCGAAAGCTATTTCACTCCAGAGCTCCCCAAGGGCCATCACAGCTTTCCTTCTCCCTTTACCCAATCCTTCTTCCTCTCCTCTTAGTCAATTCCAGTGGTACTCTCTAATAAATACTCATACTAAACTCTCTGAGTGCCCAGCCTGGGGCAGTCTCCTTCTGTGGTCTGATCTTATCTCACTTTATGCATTCCCTGGGCAATTTCACCCTTGGCCATGGATGGGGTTTGCTCATCACTTAATCTTTAAAGTATAAATCTATTGCCGCCTGCTCTTCATAGAGCCATATGCATATCCAACTGACTGTCGTTTCCGAATTGTTCTCCTAGCATCTGGCTACTTAGTGTGTCTGTGCCCGATCTCATTATCTCTTTCACCCTTCCTTTCTGCTCCTAAGCTCTTCCGTTTCCCTACATTGGAGAATTTATCACCACTCAGTTTTCTAAACTGTAACTCAAGGATCTGCTCTGTTCATGCAAACAATGCTGCAGGTGGGTGTCTACTCCACACCCCCTCCTGTGTCCACACCTGCCCGGCCACACTGGTGCAGACCCCACCTTCCTCTTGCCTGGGCATTGTTTCACTGACTCCCAACCTGTCTGTCTCACTACCTCCAGAGAGGTCTACTGAACAAATAAATTTTCTCATGTTACTGCCCAAAACAAAAAGTCCTTCAGTGATGGTTGGCCTACACTGCTCTGCAGGCACACAAGGCCCTCCCCAGCTTCAGGGATGCTTCAAAGCCAGTCCTTCCCCACCCACGGCTTTGTGCTCTGGCTATAATGAACTCGAGAAGGCAGCGGGGACTTCCCACCTCCTTGTGCCCTGTACACCTTGCCCACAGTGCCCCTGCCTGGGCCTGCCCCGACCTACCTCCGGGAGAACTCCCTGGTCCTGAAGTCAGCCCTGACACTATCCCTAAGGAAAGCCTTCCCTGCCTAGGCAGGTGCCTGCAACGTCTCCTGGCCCTTGGATTTTGTCTCCCTCAGATCAATGATTTTATTAATAGCAATGGCCTTCGTGCATGCCTATCTTCCTTCTCAGTAAGCTAGTTCAGGGCAGATAGGAGTCTTCTGTCCATTGCAGTGCACAGCAGGCACCGCATGATATAGTCCTAAAACAAACATTGACTAAGTGGTTGAGTGGTGGAGTGCTCAAAGAGTACATACTGTGTTTCCCCGAAAATAAGATATTCTCCAAAAATAAGACCTACTTACAGGTTTCCTTCTGAGTGAAATATAAGGCATCCCCTCAAAAATAAGCCCCCCCCCCCAGGCTAAACATGAGACATTTGGTCAACTGATTCTGAAAGAAATTCATCAGGAAATTCAGAAATTGGATTGTTATGATGATGTTCCAGAAGATGATGACATGATTGTCATTGAATAAATGAGTAAATTCTTGATACTGTAGGATTCACAGTTTGTCTGGTTTGTGTTGACAACTACCGTACTACCGTACCGTATACAGA